CACACACGTCTAATGGTAGCTTTTTCCCATGAAAAACAGAGCAATTAAAAGGAACGAGATTATGGTGGTCGTGCAATGTGTAGTCCCCTGGGCTTTCTAATTGAGCTTTGTAGTAAGTGTTCGTTCAAATGGTTTACTGGCTCGACTCAACTACGCTTCGAACTATTCACTGACCATATATATAATTGATATTGGCCGTGCAATGTGTAGTCCCCTGGGCTTTCTAATTGAGCCTTGTAGCGAGCTTTCGGCCACGTGATTTACTGGCTCGACTCAAAAAGGCTTCGAACTATTCACTGACCGAATGGTTGTAGATATATATATATTAGTGACAGTAGTTCAAGAGTAGCTTTCACTCATTAAAAGAGGCAACTTTTCCCTATAAAAACATCCAACCATGACAAGACTATTCAGAGAAATAAATAAGTTGGAGCCTTTTAAGTAATCATTTTGGGAATTGGTGAAGTTCTACCCCCATAAAATTTAGAAATACACGAAGTATCAAATTCACATTTGTCTCAATCATATGCAGTATGCTTAATGCAGGTCCTATATGAGATGCAAAAACATATGAAGTGTCCTACCACTAAAAGTTGCAAGTCTGGACACACAGACTGTTGCAACAGTTCATGCAACTGCATCAGATTAAACAACATAAATTCCCAGCGATTTTCGCAAGGAATCAAATTTCTGTGCATCAAGGGTTTTTGCAAAAGCATCAGTTAATTCATTCCCCGTTGCAGCATAATCAATTGAGACAACCCCCTTTTCAACCAAGCCCCTTATGAAACAATGACAAATATCAGTAAGCTTAGTTCTCGAATGTTGAATTGGATTCATAAACTTATTTTTCGCATACAGATTATCACAATTCAGATTACCAAGTTTTTTATTCCCCAAACTAGCTTTGTCACCAGAACTGTTGGAACAGTTAGTACTATCATCACATGATTTTAAAGAAGTAATGGCAGATAAACAATTAAGATCAGATTTCTTTACCCAGATTTTTTGTTGAGATTTATTCACTAAATCAACCTTTATCTTGGGTTTTTGAGACGACACAAAAGTGTGATCAATTTTAGCGGAAAGTGGTGAGCGGGCCATTATTATTTTAACCATTTTCAAGTACTTAAAACACCTGGGTCGTATATGACCAGGAACATGACAAAAATGACAGGTAGGGACAAAACATTTTCTTTGAGATGACTGTGTTGATGCAACTGTCGCAACAGTTTGTGAAACAGTGGATTGTTTAACAAAATTGATTTTTCTTTTTGAATCTTCTTTCTGTTTCAATGCATCATTAGATAGCTGATTACCCCCTATACCTATACGACAGTAGTTCGGCTGATTTTTGTTCAAAATTTCATTCAAGGTTACTCTACCAGTATTAAACTTAGAAATAACATCTTGGGTTTGAGCAAATTTAGCCTTCAAGCTATCTATTTCTCTACTAGAAGAAATAACATTTTGTTCAAGAGTAGAAATTCTTACCTTCAACACTTTATTTTCCTCTATGAGAACATGCTTATCATTTTCAAGGCGCTTATTTACCTCAGATACTTCAAGCCACTTCCGGTACATTTTTTCATATACATCTTTCACCTCTTCAAGGGTTGGCTCTTCATCATCACTACTGCTCTCAGATTCACCTGTAAAATTAAATGGTGAAGTCAGACTATTGTCCTTATTTAAAGATAATTCATCAATATACCTGATATCTGTCGGACAGACTGTTGCAACAGTTCCCTCGGTTCTGCTCATCGAAGTAGTACCACTGAATGCCATAAAGTTAGTGGTTTGATCTTCTTTATTGTTCTCATCCTCATCACTGTCCTCTTTATCACTCCAAACAGTGGTGAGTGACATCTTGTTTTTCTTCAAAGTGTTCGCACACTCGGCCTGAATATGTCCAAAACCCCCACACTCTCGACATAGCATTCTCCTAGACTTTGCATCACCAGAATAACCATTATTAGAAAACTTTTTAAATTTGTTAGGGTTAACAGACTTACCTGATTGAGAGGAATTTCCTCTATTCTCAATTTTTTGACGCAGGCTTTCGAGGTTATTTGACATAATTGCTAAGGATTCTTCAACATCAATGTCACACTCATGAAATGTTTGGCCTTGTGAGATGCCATGGGAAGCTTCAGCCTGGAATGCCACATTCTTCACCTTTTTCTTTTCTCGAATATTTGCTCTAAAATTCATTTCTTGGGTTTGCAGTTTACCCATGAGTTCATCTAGCTTTAGCGTATTGATATCTCTCACTTCTTCGATTGCTGCAACTCTGTAAGCGAATCTTTCTGGTAATGAACGTAGTGCCTTTCTCACCAACTTTGTTTCCGAGTATTGTTCACCTAGTGCATACGATTCATTTGAAATATCACACAGCTTAGCATGGAAATCAGCAATCGTCTCGTCCTCCTCCATATGAGACTCTCAAATCTCGTGGCTAGCATCTGCAACTTAGATGTTTTAACAGTTGATGTGCCTTCATACGTCACTTGTAGGATCTCCCATGCCTTTTTTGCTGATTCACACGATGCTATCAGTTTGAAATGATTGTCACCAACGCCACTGAAAATTGAGTTTATCGCCCTTGAGTTGTAATTGGCAAGTAATATCTCTTCATTAGTCCATGCTTCTTCTGGTTTTACCGTTTGCATACCATCCGTTCCTTTAGCCATGGGCGGGGTCCAACCAGTCACGATAGCACGCGAAGCTCGTTCATCAACGGACTTGATGAACATCTTCATCTTCGATTTCCAGTAAGAGTAGTTTGATCCATCCAAGAGAGGTGGTCGTACTGTAGACGTTCCTTCACGATGAAGCATATCTGCACAAAACAAATTAAAAAATTAAATCCCAAAATCTCACTAAGTGTATCTAGTGACAGGCTCTTGATGCCAATTGTTAGAATTTATTTCGTGCATATATAAATTATTTGTGTCAGATTCAGTTTTTCGTTACTGTTGCGTGAAGTGTTGCAACAGTTCGTGAAGCTGTTCGTAAAAACAGAAATAAACGAGACACAAATTTTAATGTGGTTCAGATACAATTGTACCCTACATGCACAGGGACCTGCAAATAAAATTTACTAATTTTTAGTTTTACGAATACAATAATAGGACTTAATCAAAATACAAAGACTCCCTCTTTGTTGACGCCGTTCTTGTAAACTACGCTGAATTATAAATCTTCAATTTGCAGCACGTCCCTTGCTCCGCACGGTTGAACTCCCTTCAACGTTGAATCCCTCAGTCGGCGGATCGATCTCCTCCCGAGATCTGTTTAAGCCCCTCTCCCGAAGAACCGATCTTCTTTTTGTATAGAAGAAGCAAACTTGTGATACTCCTTGAATCTTGGTGTCTTCAACACAAAGCCTTGAAGCCGGTATATTTTCTATGAAAATCACGTATCACGATGGAGCAATAAAAACGAGAGGAAAAAAAATAATTCTCTTGAACTTCTCTCGATAAACAAGACGCTAGAAGAGCAGCAAAGAAAAAGCAATATTTTTCTCTCCAGCAGACACACACCAAAACGCCGTGATGTGCTGCTTATTTATATCCTATGAAAAATAAGAATCCTGTAGAAAAACAAAGCCCATTAGGGTTAGAATTCTTAAGACACGTAAAAGCATGTATTTGAGAACAAAGGAAACTCTCTCTAGGAATAAAGACAATTTCCTATAAAAATCAATTAATGACAAAATAAAAGAATTAAAAGGTACAAGGACTCTTCCCTTCTTTAGCTCACGGTATATGCAATCTTGTGGCACAAGTTTTATTTAATTCTCGTATAATTAGAATCAAAGGGATTCTAACAAATTACATTTGGTAATATTGTCGGGCTCTCTTGAGTACTTCACTTGAGAAACGACGAACAACTTGCAGTTAGCATTTGAAGAATTTTATCAAAGGTTCTCAAATTACATGTCACTGTTGTAACTGAATCAAAGACTAACAGTTCTTCCAACAATCTTCAAAGATTCAAGAGAACACATACAATTACAGAAGAATTTTAAATTACAGATGTGAATTGTGTTTTATATATATATATATATATATATATATATATATATATATATATATATATATATATATATATATATATATATGGAGGAAGGAGCGTCAACATAAATTTTGGAGAGAATGAGAGAAGAGAGAGATAACGAAAATTTTGTGAGAGAACGAGATGAGAGAGGGAGATAACAAAAGAGAGAAATATGGAGATTTAAAGAGAAATTTAATGTAATCCTACAATCACGTTAGAGGTTATGGAAAATAAAATATTATAATTATTTTAAAAAACCTACTTATAAGGGTAGTTTTGGCTTATCACATTTGTTGAGGGAGTTTCACTAATTAAGATTGAATTTTGGGTTTGTGCAAAAGTGTTAAAAGTCAAATGGGTTTTACTCGTAATATTTTCCATTTGAGGGGGTTATTGCATATTTCCCCCCCTTTTTTTTTTAAATTGAGTAGTTGAACATTTCACTTAAAGCTCGAAAATGGCCAAAATAAGTTTATATCCGATAAATTGAATATGGAAGGTAAGAGGTGAGATCCGAATGATAATAAATTAGTTTAATTTCAATATAATACATTAAAATTAATTGACATGTATCTAACATCTTTATAAATGACAAATCACTTAGTGTAATAATTTTGAGAATACGAGCAATATATAATGCTATGATTATATCGTTCGCCAGTAAATATTTATTTGTAACAACTATTTATTTAAATTGTCAAATACATGCACTTTGCACCCAATAAAAAATGTTGATATATAGTCCCATAAAGAAAAAAAAATGAGATATTAATGTTGTTATAAATGCAGTTGTTTTCTTATGAAAGCACTAAAATAAAAAATAAAAGATATAGATTAAAGCACAAAATGATCATTCATCCACCATACCAATTTATTATGCATATAGTGACATTTATATTTCTTCCTCATCTAATCTAAGTATTTTTATCGATCTTATTTCACTTTCCTTCCATATCCTTTGCTACAACACGAGCAATGTCGAAAATAAGACTCGACATTTCGTTCGCTCGTTTAGCTTGAACATTTGGTGCTCCAACTAGTGACTTCTCACAAGAAATCGGTACTTGGTTTGCAGCATCGATAGTCTTTATCACTAATGGATACTTTTTTTCGTTCCATGCAGTTTTTGCTTCACCTAAGCTTTTCATGGCTACCACATAATCCTGACGACATTCCTTATATATGTCCTTCTGTTTCTGTGGAAGATCTTGTCCTTTAAGAAGTATTCCATTGAATACGTTCGCGGATTTTTTCGCTCTGGAAATTGCGAGGGTTAGTGAATCAAACCCGAGGTCATGAAGAGAAGAAGCCAAACGAGTTTTCGGATACGAACCCAAAATATTCAAACATTGTTTGGGACTCTTTGTTTTTGGACATATTTCAGAAAGCAATTTATTGGTAACGGGTTTTGTGAGTTTTGCGTTTGTTGTGATGCTGAGTAAAGATAGAAGGAAAAGTTTTAGAAGGAACATTGAAGCAAAGGGCGGTCTCATTCTGATTTGACGAAGTTGTTTTATGCTTCAAATTTTCTTATCGGAGCCCTTTATATAGATTTTTGTATATGGGCTCAAAAGTAGTGAATATTGTGAAAAACACATATTTAATTATTATTAATTATCATTTGCTTAAAATATGTTTTAGTTCTATCTAATTATTAATCTAAGGAGATTGGAGTAAATTTCAATACTATCACTCCTCATTCTTTGATATCCAAAGAGTTAATGGTAATCTATCTCCATTTGCTAGTAGTTCTAGTTTTGATGGTGAATGAATTTATTTAAAGGGCAATCCCATTATATTTTGGTTTATTAAAAGGGTCCATTAGATATAACCCTGAGAATTTCAAAAAATAGGGATAAATCCAATTTTATATTTTTCATTTGAGAGAAACCCACATTTTTTATAATACCAAAAATGCCCTGAATAAAATTCCACAAATCACGTTACATTACCTTTTGAAAATTAGAAGAAATCACTCCCTATAATATCGTCAAAACAACTACCCATTAAACCACTACCCCCATTCTCCAGACGGCAACAGAGATCCAGAAATTCTCTCTAAACTAGATGCCGAAATCCAGCAATCACATCCCGTGGGACGACGGCGCAACCGACTTCACCGGACCATCACACCACCGTAGAAGGAATGCCTGGTTAATTAATCGACTAATGGAGTGTATTCGTTCATAACCCCCAAAAAAATTCACTGACATGGGTTTATTTCGCTTCGTCACTGTTGGAAATCCTTCGCCGGCAAACAACAACTCACCTATTGGATAATAAATGAATAATAGTCTATGAAAATATGAATGATAGTCCATTAATATATGAATGATAGTCGATTAATCGCTTGGTAGTACATTAATAAATGAATGATGGAGTCCTAATGTCTGTGCGTTATTATTAGTTTAGTAGTATGTTAATATATGCATGATAGTCTGTTAATTGAGTTAATAAATGCACGATTGTCGATTAAATGCATGGTATTACATTAAATATCTAATAGTCTGTTAATGTCTACTGCTTACTATTGAATAGTCTGTTAATAAATGTATGGTAGTCCAGTAATATATGCATGATAGTCTATTAATCGCATGGTAGTACAATAATATATGAATGATAGTCTACTAATTCGACTACGTGAACTTCAATCTACTATCATGTGATATTAAATCGACTCTGGTATATCACATTGGACAAAAAAACATCACCATTGCTGAACCTAAATTCGGGACTAACATCGCTTATGACCAACAACATAGGATCTTACGAACAAAAACTGTAACACAAACACACATCCAAATTCAATAATCCATGGGAACGAAATCATCAAACTACGAGAAAGAACACATAAAAAAATTACGAGATTAAAAAAACAACAAAAACAGAACCACGCAAGAATACTCACATCTAACAATATATGTACGAGAAATCAGACAAGTTTGATGGAAAACGATGAAAAAATTCTTCAAAGCCGATGGAAAACGATGAAACGATGGAGAAATTCTTCAAAGCCGATTGTACACGATTTGATAATAACGAAACCGCCAATATACTCACGTAATTTATTCCGTGATTTTAGGCAACGTATCAGCAATCTCATATCACGTAGTTAAGGAAATAAATGTCGTTCAAAATAAAATAAGGGTATTAAAAGGAAATTAAATAATATCTTGTGCCAAGTTGGCATATTTGGGTGTATCTCAAAAGGGAAAAATCAAATGGGTTATCCCTAATAAACCCTTATTAAAAACATATACCGAAAAAACAAATTCCAAATGAACCGTTGTTTTATAACTGCGAATGTTGATTTATAGAAGTGATAAAGAGATACGATAGAAGTACGAAGATACATATACTAAACCACGATTTATTATAATCCAACATTAATCATATTTAACATTATTATTACTTAGGGCGAATTGCATATATATAACTCAAAGGATGATTTAAATGCAGATATGTTCAGATAAAAAACAGTTTGACAAATAAATTAATTCCCTTGTCTTCTGGCCAAAGTACCCTTTGTATTATAATTTTCATCAATTTCATCTATTATACCTTAATTTATCCAATATTGACCATCGACCCCAAATTTAATAAATATTACATATTAACCCAATTTTACAGCCTGCCTCCAGTAGGTTTGTTCACGAGTCGGTTTTACCCGACAACCAACCCATTATCTGCCTGACTGTTCTGAGAAAATAGTTTTTTAGTGTAAAAAGAGAAGTTGAACAATAGTGCAATAATTATCTAGTTCCCGAATAAATAATTATTTATAGTTCCTTTTTAAATTGTTAAATACACTTTCAACTCCTATAAAGAAAACTTGAGATATTAATTAATATGTTTATACGTGTAGTCATATGTTTATAAAAGTAGTGAAGATGTATTGAAATTAAAAATAGAGATAGAGATTAAAGCACCCTATGATCATTCATACACCATTACAATTTATTATGCATTTATATTTATTCCTCATTCTAATCTAAGAATCCATGGTCTAATTATTCCCATTGGCTACCATCTCCTTTGCTACGACAAGAGCAATGTCGAAAGTAATATCTGCTGTTTTAATTGCTCGTCTAGCTTCACCCATTGATGGTGGTGCTCCAAATGCCTTCTCACAAGAAATCGGTTTCTTTTGCGCAAGTTCTATACTCTTCTTTGCTAACGGATACTTCTTGTCGCTCCACGCATCTTTTGCTTCTTCTAGTTTTGTCATGGCCGCCGTGTAATCTTGAATACAATCCATATATATGTTCTTCTGTTTCTGTGTAAGATATTTTCCTTTAAGCATTAATGCACTAAATACGCTCGCCGATATTTTCGCTCTGGAAATTGCGATGGTCAGAGAATCGAATCCGAGACCATGAAGAGTAGAAGCCGAACGAGTGTTTCGATCGGTACTCAAAATTGTCACACAATTTTCGGGACTCTTTGTTTTCGGACATATTTTGGAAATTAATTTGTTGTTAATGGGGTTTGCATTTGTTGTGATGCTAAGTAGAGAGAGAAGGAAAAATGTTTGAATGTACGTTGAAACAGAGGGCAATTTCTTTTTTTTGTTTGATGAAGTTGTTTTGTGCTTCAAAATTTCTATCAAAGCCATATATATATATATATATATATATATATATATATATATATATATATATATATATATATATATATATATATATTGATGGGCTCAAGAGTAATGAATTTTGTGAAAAATACATATCATTATTAATTATTATTTGCTTAAAATATGTTTTATTTATATCTTCTTTTTAAGGAGATTGGAGTAAATTTCAGTCCCATCACTCATCCTTATTATTTAACATACATCATTAAAAGCCAAAAACAAAGTCTTGGTTATATATCAAAGAGGTTTATAATATAATATACATCGGGTAAAATACATTGGCTAGTTCTTCGTTATTCATATATACACAAACAGTTACACACACTTTTGTGTGTCGATTTTTTTTTTTTTTTTTTGATAAGTATGTGTAGACTAACGGTAAAGTTGACGTGATATTTCAAGCAAAGCCTTTTATTACAATGTTCAATTTTAATTCAAACTTTTTTCCTTATTTAGTCTAATTTCGATATTATTTACTCTATTTATTTCATTATATGTCAAATAAAATATTTAAATTTAGATTTTGTATGTGTTGAACTTGGCCAATTTGAAATAATTATTCTACATTGAATTATTTCATAATATTGTAATTATTTAATCTAGCTCTTAATTTGAACTGATTAATACACACAATTAGGATTATCCTTTTTTTTTTTTTATGAACCAGTGCCGTACGATTCGATATTAGTCAATAATATATTTCTGTAAGTTGAGTGGTCGAACATTTCACTTAAAAGCCAAAGAAAAAGGGTAAATAAACTAATTACATAAAATAATTATTGAAGGAATCCATATTCTGGTAAAATGTGATTGAGAGTATCATTTTGAGGAGCGTCTAAGGTGTTTTTTTTTTCTTTTTTTCTTTTTTCTTTTGATTATTGAAGGAACCTGCATCCAACCATATAGGTGCACTGGGTAGATATATGCTCTCGTATAATAGCTTGCAAATCATACGAGAGACGCAAATCACACTATGCTGATTATGTGTGACAAACTCGACCTAATGACCATTGACAAGGAAATTCGAATTTGGGTCGATTGACACAAGCTGCTCCAACAAATGACCGAAAGAAGTTTATATCCGATAAATTGAATATGGGGGGAAGGTAAGAGGTGTGATCTCAAGGATAATATGTTAGTTTAATTTTCATTTGTCAAGTTTTCCCCAATTTCACATTTGATCCCTTATGTTCACAAAAAACACATTTGGTCCCTCATGTTTCAATAATTTGAATTTTTTTGTTATTTCCATCAATTTATCGTTAGTCCATCAGTTACGATAGTTTTAATGGAAAATAGACGGAAAAAACTAAAAATGTTGTATTTTTAAAACATGATGGATAAAATATGTTTTTGTGAACATGAGAGACCAAATGTGAAATTGGAGAAAGTTTGAGGGCTGAAAACTGTAATTCTTTTCCAATTTTAATATCAACTATTTAAATTAATTGACATGTATCTAACATTTTAATAAGAAAAAATATGTTTTAGTGTAACCATTTTGATAATACGGACAATAATGCTATAGTTATATCGTTCGCCAATAAATAATTATTTGTAACAGCTATTTATTTAAGTGTAAATGGTAAAGAGGGACATATGACAATGGACTTCAATTCACATTGGTCCACACAGAAAATAGTTATTTAAATAAACTCATTCCCATGTCTTTTGTCTAAAATATTCTCCATAATGTAACTTTTAAAAATTACATCCATTACACTCTAACTTCCACAATATTACATATTTACCCCTGATTTAAACAAATATATCACATTAACCCCCATTTTAAAAAAAATTGTAAATTTTTTTTCAGAAAATAATTTTTTTTTCCAGCTTGATTCCGATGTTGACTTTCATTTTTACGAAAACATTTTTTTTCTGAAATCATAATATAATTTTTGACAATTCCATCCATTATACTCTAACTTCCTCAACATTACACATTGACCCGTAATTTAAACAAATATATCACATTAACCCCATTTTAATAAATTTTCGAAATGTTTTTTTTTTTCAGAATATAATTTTTTTTCAAAATTTTTTTTTCGGCAAGATTCTGGCGTTGACCAGGCAGTTCTCCGCCGTTGACTTTTTTTTTTATGAAATTTTTTTTTTCTGAATTTTTTTTTCTGCCGGTCAACATATGTTGACCGCCGGTCTCCCACGTTAGACTTTTTTTTTTTTTGAAATTTTGAACTTTATTTTTTTAGAGTATTTTAATTAATATTACTGTCTTGGCTGCTAAATTGCAGTCTCCAACAATAATTTAATCGTCGGAGACACTATTTTAACTGTCTAAGAAAGTAATATTGAATACCAAAACAGTAATATTACTAATATTACTGTTCCAAACAATAAAATTATTGTCTCAGACAGTAATTTACTGTTTGAGACACTAATATTATGAATATTACTTTCCCGAACAAGAATA